CCCATAGTCATGTTTGTTAAGTTATGTTTGGATCAATCTCCTTGTTCCTGTACATGAACACATATTCAGATATAAAAAGTACATAACTCAGGTGGTGTATTTGCTACACACGAGAAGGCCCAGTGAAAACGGTGAAAATTAACCATCAAAAATAACACCAACTTAGTCCAAGATCAGTGTGACGGGTTTCTGCTTTTTGGACTAATTTGAATTGTACAATTGTTGTAGTACCAGATTGAATGACATTATGAAATGTAAACTAACCAATGGGTACACAGTTTTCAAAAAAAGTATATTGTATATATAGTTTTATATATATAGTTTTATATTCATTTATAAGCTTTTTAAAATAGCACAGTAAACACTTTGCACACATGATAAAAACCACTGAGTGTGTCTGATTGTGTATGAGCCAATGCCATCGTTTCACTTTCTGCACAGTCAGCTCAGGAAGGAAATAGCTTCAAAAAACATTCATATTTGTGAGATTTTATTGATAAACTGCACATTTAAGTATGACTTTAGCAGTATTTTTTTTATGTTCATGTGTCCTTCCTGAAGTGGCTAAACTGGAAAGAGGACTGCACCCGGCTGGAGAAGCATTGTCCTGTCTAACTGTAATACGTTAGAGTCTGCACACGTGAACCACACAAAGAACAACAGAAACCAAGAGGAGAAGTTATAGAAAGACAGTCAAGTCAAAGAAACGCAGATACAGAATTTATACTACTGCACATCACCAGCTCTTCTCCTGTCACATGTACCTGTACAACACCTGCTCCTGCTCATTGTCCTGTCCGGAGCACCTGTCCGGAGCACCTGTCCAGAGCACCTGTCTGAGCACTCGCTCACTGCTGCTGTGATGCTCTCCAAGTCTCTGTACAGTGAACAGTAGTGACCGTAAAAATAGCTAAAGGGTTCCGTGTGAATTTTGTACAGAAACATTTTTGTTCTTCGTGTAAACAGGCACACACAGATGTCCAGAGGCCAACCTTTGTGTTAAGAATAAAAAAGAAAAAGGTTTGAGAGAGGCAAAATTCCCTCAATCCTTGGGGTGTGTTGGTCCTCCAGTTTGTTGTCTGTTTGCTGATGACATTGTGTTCTTCACCGATGTGTCTCGGCCTGGTCTCAGTCCTGGTCTCAGTCCTGCTGAGAGGAATGTAAGGCCTCAGATTGCTCCTTTTTCTACTCTTCATTATGAATCCCTCTGATTTCCTCCTGGCACCACTGCACGAGCCAGGCCACCCGAGATAATGAAGTTTAACCAAGGCCGCAGTTGTCCAGGTTACAGTTTCCAATTGTCTTTTCAGTCACATTCTTAGTACAGTAATTCACGCTGTTTCCGACAGGTCCACATGGAATGAGCTAGCAAATCCTTTTGCGGGCTGCAAAGACACAAGAACACCTCTGTTAAGACAAATGAGACTGATCCCCTGAGACTTTTAAGTTCAATACTGTCTCCTGAAGGATACATGCCACAAAGCAGTAATTTTAACGTTATTTATAGCTCGCATATATAAAAAGGACAGTAGTCAAAACTAAATTAGGAACTGACAAAAACATGTCCCTCAGCGAAGATAAATTGGGAGGATTTGGCAGCTGCACAATGCATGGACAGAAAAGACACCCAGCATTAATTGGCTCATTAATTATCTATAAATGGATGATTAAACATTGATGAAGGCTTTATGGAGGCAGCCCTGGTGATCAGAGCGATACTGAGGAGGAGGAGGGGGCTATTTTTAAAAGTAGAACATCATGTGTGTTTGTTAATAGAGTCTTAGCTTGTGGGGTCATATCTTCTACACAGACTGGCAAACTACAAACTCGTCAGCATTGCAGCGAGAAGTCAATTTATTTTAGCAGGCTGCAAAAATATGAGATATTGAAACAAATAAAGTTGTGAGTTTTTGGACCAAGAAAAGGAAAAGTGCATTTATCCAAACCCTCTAAGGCAGAAGAGATCTGCAGACACACTGCTATGTTTGGAGCGCTAGCACCTAAAGGCTAAATAGCAATTATTTTTCACATAGTCCTGATGTGCAGGAGGGAAATTGCTGTTTGCTAAGACTAACAACAAGTGTGATATCATTTTAACTGTTTACCTGCAAAAAATTTCAGTTCAATTCAAGAAAGTGTTGTGGGTTCTGTGTATGCATAATAATATAAGGATTTGCTCTTTTCCCAAATAAACACAATAATCCGATGAAAGCAACACATCTCAAATAAGTTTTATATGTAAAAAAATTGATTCTTGTGAGCTTTAAGCCATGTTAGAATGTTGTTAAAATGTTGTTATAAATGTTCATATACACATTGAGTAATCCTGCCATATTATATAGTTTGTCTACATCTCCAAATCTCAAAATGCTCTAAGTTCTTGGGTTATTTTTAAAGACAATACAGTAAAGTGTATTTAGCTAGTTGACATGTTTCAGCTGCTAGCTGCAAGCCATCTTCAGAACTGTGCGGGCGACAGGAGGCGTGGTCAGTCTGAGCGACCTGCCAGGTCCATCAGGCTGACCACGCCTACAGGAAGTAACAACAACTGATATACAACACGTCACCACCAACACCAGTGACAGTTCTGAAGGTGGCTTGCAGGTAGCAGCCGAAACATGTCAACAAGGTAAATACACTTTCTTTAAGACATACAGTCTTTAAAAAGAACCCAAGAAGTTAAAGCACATAAGAAGACAAAATGAACATCTTTGGCTCAAAATGCTCTGCTCCACCTTGTGATGTTATGAAGCAGTAGTTTTCAAATTACCTCTACCCTTTTACCTTTAGTTCAGTAGAGATTGGCAATTCCAGGGCTGAAATCATCCAAATCTTTCTTGTGAAGATGAATAGGCTTTAAAACACTGTAGAGCATGTCCTGTATTACCACATCACAAGGTGGAACAGAGTGTTTTCAGTTTGAGAGAAGAACTCAGTTTAAGTATGCAGGGTTTGTGTATTAAAATGTGAATGAAACAAAACACAAATCCAGCTATGTTTGATATGTGGAAACAACATTATAACACAGATCAGAAAACAGGATTAAATACATCTACCATATGCATTTTCACATTCTACTCAGAACCCCAACATTTCTACCAAATTGGCATTGCACAATCAACAGTTAGCATGCAGCCTCATGCAGGGTGTGGTGGTTAACATGATGGTGATCTGACTGGAAATGACTTGTCTACTGAACGTGTATCTCAAATCCATTCTGAACTCTTAGAGCTAATGGAATATTCATGTAATGTAGAGAGGGAGCTGGAAAGGCAATTGAAAGAGGTGAATGCCCTTTTCTCAGGAATCCCTTTCAGCCTCTTCAGTAAGCCAATCTTCATTTTTCAGTTGTGGCTGGGTATCAATATGTTTTGCTGACATATTAAAAAATATAGATAGATATGGATAGCTTTGTGTCCGGAATTGTTGACGAATGAATAGATTCTGAAGCTAAAATTGATAGACAAATTTTAGGTGGTAACATAGGCCAAGGATAAATTGGTGTAAGTTTTGGTGTGCATCCAGGTTAAGAAATCAAATACTCAGATAAACTTATTACCTAAGAGAAGGACATCTGTGTTTTCTGTGTCTTGCATTGTAGCATTTTAGTCTTTCATATAGGCACACTCATTTCTGTTTCTGTATATAATTAACTTTCTTCCCCCTAGCCCTTTTTAACTAGACTTGCGAAATATATGGATCTATAGGGGAAATACCAAAGAACAATATTCTTAAAACAATCTGACAATATAAAATATGTGGGAAGTTGGGTTCACAGTTGGGTCTGTTCAGTAGAGAAGTCACCGAGCTCAAGCAGAAATCTTGTACAAATGGTTACAGATGGCCTGGTATATAATAATATAATCCCTCTACTTCTGTGTTAGTCTGTAGTGAAATGGTTTGTTGGATTAAATATGTGAATTCAGCCCTGGTTTAAAAAGACCACAACAAAATATATGTTTCTCTCTGTCTGATATCACTCACCTCATACCCACATTGTCAGCATTTTCTGTAGTAAGGTAAAATATTTTCTAATGCAGCATTTGAATTTTAGGGCAGAACTTTCAATTGAAATTAACCTTGAATCGAAATGTGTATTAAGCAAGTCTTGTTTTCCATTTTGTTGATTTTTTGGTGAATTTGTGAGTGCACAATACAAATGATTGTCAGAGAGAGCTGAATAAATTGCAGTGGTCTGTTATGATTCCGGAGCTGTAGGTGTGTTTTGACCTTTGCTTATGAGCATCAGATAAAATGAGTTTAATCTTTCTGGGGAAATTTAGAGAAGAAATAAAACAAAAACAACAAAAACAAAAAGGCAAATCTAATTCAAATTTGAGTTTATTCCAAATATGTACATGGATACAGACATTTGTTTTATTGGGGTTAGGATTGGGTTAGGGTGATTTAAAACTATTTTTTGTGGAGAGGGGAGTTAGCAACATTATATTACAACACTGTAAAACCCAATAGTGCATCTTAGATTAATGTTATACTACTTGTTACATAAAATTATTATGAATTATTATTACAATAGATATAGATATAGATATAAATGTATACTAATATTATGTAATGTAATGTTCTATTATATGCTATAATAAAATAAAAGATATGATAAAATTCATGATATAAATACAGTATCTCTACTCCTGAATATTTAACCTCAATATATAACACTAGTATCTTATACTGTATAAAAGCATTAAAATATGTCCTTAAATAATAAATAGAAAATCAACTTTGAAAATATGTAACAAACCAAAGTAATAATCAGAACTACTAATTTAAACTCAAATGATTCAGGATGGCCATTTTCCTCAATCCATTTGAGTTATACTTGTTTGTTGGGTTTTACAGTGTATTTACATTCATCAAGAATATCAAGTTACAAATAAAAGTACAGAACATAGTAACTTCTGAAAATAGAAGAACATAAGGTGATATTGAAAAAAGTCCAGATTGGAATCAAAGAGGCCAATCCTTCCTCCATTATTCTTTTAGTATCTATATTGGACCAGACCGAAGTCAAGTGGCCCCAGGGACGTTTGATACTGATACTCACAGAGAAAGGTAGGTTTGTACGGGAGCGTCCCCCTATCATACTCTTTCCTCTCTAGCGTGCTGGAGCTGTACTGCGGGCTCTGATGGAGGTGATGGTGTAGGCTGTGGTGTGACTGAGACCTCTGACCGTCCTTGCCAAAGGTGGAGAATGACCTATCGTTGGTCGAGGCTGCCGAGGAGGACAGCGAGGAAGGAACGGAGAGCTGCTCGGACAGGCTGACGGGGGCGGGCGGCTGTGGCGACGCTGGTACCTCTGTGTCGGGCAGGGCAGAGTCCATGCCAGGCACGTGCAGGTTACTGCGGTAATCAGGCCCCTGGCGACCGTCCGAAGCCACAAAGGAGGGCATCCAGCAGCGGTCCGAGTGTCCCAGGGCCTTACACTCCTCGGTGCAGTTGGAGAAGAGGTCTGCACCTGCACAGACAAAAGAGGAGCGGAATGTGATACAGGAAAAACAAACTTATTTATATGCAGAGGATAGGGTAGTGCAAAAATGAGGTTGGGACGTATAGAAAAAAATCTCCGAACAATCTCTATGTATTTGGGTCACCTGAAAATCCGGATAAGGCATAAAATTGACATTGGACTAGTTGAGTATGACAGAAAGTAGTAGAGAGCATTTTAATCAAGAAATAAAAAAATGTGTAGTATCAATTATAAAGTGTCTAAATACAAAATGAATTTGGAGTTTCAGGATAAAGCTCTCCCCCTAGGACAATACTAATTTACCTCTCCTCTTCTCAGGGTATTATAAATTCTAGCTCCTCAGACTTGGTACTTTGAGACTGATGATGGCTTCCGGATGGCAGCCAAAATATCTTGATTCCAAAAACATTGTCCAAATGACTTCATTTGAAACCATTTTTACCATAATGAATTAGAGTTTCCTGGTATGTAGCAGGTAGTAACTATTGCTGGTGGTTCAATTCCTAGTGCCAGAATTGCACAAATGTGTTGTATCCTTGGGCAATACATTTGATATACCTTATCATTGTGATCTAATAATTGAGATTGTGTCTGAGATCAGGCTTTGACAGGCAGATATGGCCGCATTAGTGATGGTCAGATGGACTGTTGGTACAGAACTGTATTCAAAAGACAATACAAAAATCTGCTTTCTTATTTGAACTATATATACTACATCATCGTTTCCCAAAGACTGGGTCGTTACTCTCAGGTGGGTCACAAGAGATTTTTTTTGTTTTTTTGGGGGGGGTTACCTTGTTACAATCTGCATGTAGGTCTGCAATATACAGTTTTATTATTTTCTTCCATTATTGTTCAATTGAATATTGAAAAAAAAAAAAGAAAAGAAAAGAAATGGGCTACATTTAATGTCCAAATAAGCGACTTATGGATCCTTTTATTGCTATTTCAATCACTCTTTTTCATAGTTTAAAACTTGAGTAATTCTAATTGTTCAGAGAGACACAATCACTCAGTCAAATCCACCTTTATTTTGTGATTTACGAATAATGTCTTTGGGTTGCGAAGGTTTGTGACTTTTAAAATATGGGTCCCCAGAAAAAAAGCTTGGTAAACTCTGCGCTACATGCACTATAGTCTGTAAGCACATGGGTCAAATCTCTCTCTACTTGCTTGTAGGAGTACTTAGTGATGCCAAAGCTATTTATCAGGGTGCCAAGGTCAGCATTGACAAGCAAACAGTTTGTATTGGTCTTCACCTCATTCATTCCCAATAGAGTACAATCAGGCAGATTTGGTGTTGTAAAAACATCCAGCACTCCCCACCCCCTGTGTTATCAGCTCATTGCCTTTGCACAATAGAAAACCTCAACAACCAGAGACAAAACACAAATCCATATCAAATCATTCTCACACAATTATCTCAAGGAACAAGTCACAAAAAGAAAAATATTCTCGAGCGGCTTAATCTCATGCTAATGTCAATCAACTCCATACAAAATGACAAAGTGTGTAATCGAGACAGAGCCAAAGCCAAAAACAAAACAAGAAACACAAAAAGATGAAATTACCATCTGAAATGATATAATAGCACAGCACACACACTCACGGACACCACAGAGACAAAAGAGGAACCAGTGTTAATTACAATCTGTTTGAAAGAAGAAAGCAAAGTCCTTAGTATACAGGAGCCAGGAACACTGCAGTCTTCTCTCAGGGCAAGTGACTTTTTGTTAAATATGGAATTACATCAAACTGTTTTCCTTTTTTAGTCCATTTTGAATTGGCTTTGTAAGAGACTAGTGTTTATGAATATGTGTGCAAAGATGATGGCTGAAAGTGTGGATCTGGTGTACATTCATTTCTATTGCAGTCTGAGTTGGGTTGACTGTCTTGCTCAAGTGCATAACAACAAAATGCATTGATTTCTTTGACTGAAATGGTCCATGGTATGACAATAAACCATGTATTGGAATTTTTTTCTTGATTTGAACATATTCCGACTTGACAAGATTTGCATGTAGAACAAGTTTTTTTTTTTTTCTTAATTCAAAACAGAAGCATTTGTCTCCTCATTTCAAGTGAGAGCATGTTTGCTGTTTTCTTATTTCAAGTAAAACAAGACACTTTGTGCTTGTTCTATCGGCTAATCTTATTTTAAGTGTCAAAATGTACTAAAATGAAAACAAATTGATTTGAGCATTTCATATTTCAGATGGTATTGTTTTCAGTGGGAAACGAGCATGTGACGCCAACAGGATCAGTTACAGGTCAGATCTGTGGAGAGGTAACACAACTCACAGCCATTTTTGAGCGCCTTCTAATAGGTTGAATGCAGGATAGGTAAGTCCATGTCCTACTGTGGAACATTACAGGCAAAGCAATAACACAAGCAACACAAGCATGTGGCAGACCCTCTATCTGAAACGTTACATAGTGCACCTTTAAGTACACAAAGACGACACATTTGAATACAGTGTTTGGTGCCCACATTTCAAGATCCTCTAATATGAAAAATGTTGTATCCAATTATTTTTACAATCCACCTTAAGTAAACTACTTATCATAGTAATAAGTTTCTGGACTTAGGTTATCCTTGCCCAGTTTGATATTTGCTACTTGAAACTGTAATTCAGTTTTTTTTATTTATTTTTTTCCCTCAGACTCCTACTGCCCATTAATTTAACACTTTTGGTATAAAAATGGAAAATACAAACACGTACCACTATTTACAAGACTACAGAGAGGCCAAGATAAACATTTTAAAATTTAGCAGGGCTCTGAGGGAAAACAGAAGAACAATAGGAGTATATAAAATAGAGTGTTCGTAATAGGAATTGTTTGGGAGTGGGGTGGTTTACTGATACGGCTAAGGAAAACAAAGCTAGCGAAGGATCAGTTATGTTGGATTCCCTGCAGCAGCAAAGGCCTTTGGATCAAAGGTTCCACTTACACCAATCTATTGTCTCGATGCTCTCCACTGATAACGCTGCCTCCTCTCTATCACTAAGAGGACAGTCTCCACAACACTGTAATTTAAGGATGTGTGCGTAAATAGAAGGAGATGTGCGCAGAGAACACAGAGTACATCAATACAAGCACCTGGGTGAGTAATATGAGCTCCTAAAATGAATGTTGATATGTAAGACGCTAAAGATCGGCGGTTTGAAAGGAGTGCCTTATCTAGTCGCGTTTTTAAGTGCTGCTGCACTTTGGAGAGGGCAGGAAAGAAATGTGTGCACAAATCACAACCTGAAAATGATTATGATACGAACAAATGATATGTAAGTGCTGTGATGACATTTCTAAAAGATGACACCAGTGTTTTGTTTAGTTGTGACAAAAAAAAAAAAAAAAAACAAACAACAACAACAACAACAGTGCATTGTGTGATGTTAGTCTTAAGGTAGACCTACTATTTAAGTCATATAGACTTAAAGGTCAAATTTCAGAGCTTTTAACCGTGTTATAGAGGTTTCCCCTTTGCATTTAACCTCTCAAAGTTGTTTTCAAAGGGATTTGTACATGTTTGAGCAATCTGTACACTGCTGTGATTCAGCAGGACACAGAGGAGGGATACTTTTGTCTCTTCCGCTGGATCTGCTGACCCTATCTGACCAGTCCTCCAGTTAAACTGCACTGAAACTTTTGACCTTTGTGTTGTGTTGCAGCAACAGCAACTGCAACAGCTTGCTGCAAAACTTGAGTTTCTCTCTCTCTTTCTTTAATCACTTCTTTTCAGGACACCATATTGCTGATCAACCCCCGTTTTTAGCACTCCCAGCATATGCCCACTGCCCTCTCTACTTATTTCGTTCTTCTATTTAATTTTAATTGGTGATACATATACTGCTCTCCAGTGTGATATATAGTATAGACACAAGCACAATATGTCATCTTTAAAGGAACACTTTCTGGTGGATGGTCTGCCACCTGGAGATGTTATTGCTTTGCCTGAAATTCCATAGCATTAAACGTGTCTTCATATAGACAAAAACAGGATGAAACCAGGCCAATTTACAGGTTAGATCTGTGGAGAGTCGACCCAGCTCACAGTAAGAATGCATGTTTGTCAAGGAAATAAAACACCTGAAATTGAATAAATGCAAAATAAGTCAGTTCAGTGCCATCCTTAAAACATTCCAGACAAAGCCATGACCTCTCACAAGCCTGCGGTTGACCCTTCCCAGAAAAGTTACATATTGGTGCTGGTGGCTGTGTATTTGTTTGTTTGTTTGTTTAATATGGTTATGCAGTTATTAGTAAAGAAATAAAGTTGTGCATGTATTCTTGTTGACTTTGCTAGGCAGTAGCTGTCTACAAAGTCTATACACATAATTAACCATCTCCCATAAGTAATAATAAGAAAATCCCTTTTGGCCTTACATTTGTTTTAGGGGTCAGTACAGTGAATCGTTTTTCATGCCAGATGCCCTTCCGGACACAGCCTTCCCCATTAATCTATGCACATAAATAGCAGGCCACATAATATGGAAGATAGATACCACTAAGGTCATAGCCATTAAAAGAGAACACCTGTGCTAAGAAGAGATGGGGCTGTATTAAGAGAATGACAAATGCACAATCACACTAGTTGTTCACAGCTCATAACACAATACAAAATTTCATACACTGCCATGGCTAGTATGTTAAAAGCTATCTGGGGCACCGGAGAAAAAAGCAGAAGGCTTTTGGGAGTTATAAGAAAGTATATAGGGTTAGGTGGGTGGAGATAGGACTAGCTCATGGTATATTTTAAAGATAGAATGTAAAAAGCCAGGATGGTTGGGAGATGCGCTGTACACAGAGTGGATGTATGGATAAAAATGGATAAGGTTAGAGCTGTCTAGAGAAGAGGACAACCAACCAAGAAAAGACACCTTCATTTTCCCAAGTATAACTTTTAAAGGTCGATAAGGTATTAAACTTACTTATGTGTCTTCTTTTTATTCTTCTATGACATTTATAATCCAACAATGCATCACAGG